GTGGCAGGTAAGGCCCGAAGAGAAAGCCCGGGGAGGGAAGCCCGAGGCCTGAGTGCGCGCCGTGTCCCAGGCCGCGAAGCCGGGAGATTGGCCGGGCGCTGCCGTGAAACTGGCTCCTGAGCGCGCGCTTGGGCTCTTCCTGGGACTCTGCCGAGGCCGCAGGGAAGGGGGCAGGGTCCTGCTGCCCGGGGCCTCCTCCCTGGAGGCGGCCTAGGGGAGGAAACCGAATTCGAACTCGTGCCCCAAACAGTAAGATGGGGTCACGGCGTCGCCCTCTCCCTGGCGCTCAGGAAGGGCCGCCTGCACCCACTGCCCTGACCGAAGGTGCCCTTGGGGTCCACTTAGAGGCGGGCTGACAGAGAGGTGGCCTTTCCAGACTCGGGCTTCCTCCGCCCCAGCCCCGAATGGTCCGTCCTGAGGACCTCGGGGCCCAGTGTTCCCCAGTCTCCAGTCGCCCACCGCTTTTGCCTCGCCTGCTTTTTCAGCGTTCTAGTGTTTACTTAGTTTCCTTTAAATAGATTTGCCCCTTGTTAGAGGCGCATACGTTTATTTCAGAAGGAGGCTTGGGACACGGCAGTAAATGGAAAAATCAGCCTCCCCCGCCACGAATAGAAGGTTCTAAAAAATAAAAATAACAAAACTCGGATTTAAGCAGAATGTGGATTCCGCGGCCAGCTGGCGGCTCTGAGCCCCGGGCCCGCTGCGTGAAAAAAAAAAAAAGGAAATTATCACTTTTCCGAGACTTGTCAGCACTAGGTTTGTCTCCTTGACTCTCGGGGAAGCCGCTTCTCCTAAGGGCCCGGGGAGTGGAAGGACCCCGCCTCCTCTCCCCTGGGACCCGGCCGGGCCCCCGGGGCGGAGGCTGGGAGGAGCCGGGCCCTCACGCCGCCCCCCGTCTCCGCAGCGCCCGCAAACGCCCCATCCCCTACTACCGGCCCAGCCCCTCCTCGCCCAGCGGGCTCAGCAGCGCCTCCTCCTGGTGCAGCAGCAGCAGCAGCCGCTCGCCCAGCCGCAGCTACTCC